TGGCATACAAAGGCACAGAACACATATTCCCACTTAAAAAGGAGAAATAGGGGGACAGAAACCAATGGGACCAAAGCAAGACCTAAATCCAGCAGAGCAGATAATCCTGTAGCTCCATGCACAGCACCTGGCCCAGGCTGTGGTGAGGCGTGACCTGCAAAGGGCCTAGGTGGCCCTGCCCTACAGCACAGTCCTGATTTTCTCTTGGACAGGCTTTTTACTCCTGTGGCTTTCCTCCACTGTGTCACATAGCTAGCTCTCCAACTTCCTGTGGTCTCTACTGCACTTCTGGCTTTACTGTCTGTTATGGTTTATGTCTAGTTGTCTCTGCAAAGCCTCATGAAGTCTTTGGGGCAGGCTTCTAGAGTTTTTAATTCATGATCCAATGCTGGGATTACGGGTGTGAATGCTACACCTGCCCTGGGGTGGATAACCTGAATACAATGTAAGACAGGGAGAGAGGCTTGCTAGAAGCCCAACTGCTGCTCCTGCCTTTGCTTTTTGATGTTTTCGGCCACCATGAGCAGCTGCCCTCTGCCATGTGCCCCTCTGCCTTGGAGCCAGCCAAGTATGGTCTGAAACCTCCACTAACTATGAGCTAAATAAACCTTACCTTCCTTAATTTTGGGTGTCGGGTATTTTGTCCTAGCAATGAGAAAAGTAATTAAGACACAGCTTTACACAGTGGCCTCATAGGGGCACACTCCCTGGCCTCCCCAGGCTTCTGAAGTCTGGGTGAAATGAAGCCTTCCTCTCCTCACAAATTTTGCATTCTGCAAATCTTTAAAACTACTGGATGACATTACGTCTACCTAGGGCTCCAGCAACTGTTTGACCCTTTTGCATCATGGCTACTGGGGCCTCTAAGTGTCTGGGTGGCTGTGAAATCAATTTCTTGGAGACCCTTCTCCAACACAGTGCCCAGGGGCTCTTAAAGCAGTTTCGCTTTTACACCCCAGAGGGTGGGACCTTCTTTCCTCACAGGCTCTTGAGCCATTTTTCCTATTTTCCTAAACCAGGTTACTTGGCTTTTTAAAAATTATTTTCATTTTTTTTTAAAGCTTTACTTCTATTTAATGTTATCTTTTCGGCGATCAAGCCATTGTTCCCAGCTCCAATTTGTGGGACTCAATTTTAGAGAAACTCCCTTTCTGGTGAAACTTAAAATTATTCAGCTGCCCTGTTTGCAATTCATTAGAAGTATTCATACCAGTGCCTCAGCATTAGGCTTCCTTGAAATTTCCTCTGCCAGATTAATTACACCACTGCTCTTAATCTCAGTCTCCCACAAAGTCTCAGGACAGGAGCAAAATACAGACAAATATCCTGCCAGAGCATAACAGATGGCCTGCAGCCCAACTGCCAATGGGGGGGGGGGGGTCTTTGTCTTTGTTCTCAACTGAAATTTCCTGAACCTGGTCCTTACCATCTCCACTTCTAGAAGCATCCTGGTCGGGTGCCCTCTGACCAGAATCAGCTGCTGCATCCAAGGACTTCTGCAGCCAGCATCACCAAACCCCTTCCAAGCTGTTCCTTTAACCTGTTGCAAAGACATCTGAACCCTAAGGTCAAACTCAGTCACAACAAGGAGCCCATTCGCTGGAGTCAGCATCCCTTTGAGTTACTTTCTCATCACTGGAACAAAATACCTGTCAATTTAAAGGAGAAGTGGCTATTTATTTTGGCTTACATGATGACTTGGGGAAGGGACCTGGGGGACAGGAGGAGTAGAGAGGAAGGGAGAAGCTGGTGAGGAAGATAACCCCTTCCAGGCCACACCCCAGGGACTTGATCACCTGACCTGTTCCACCTCCTGACATTACATTTAGGTGTTAACTCATTAGCAAAGTTAACCCACTGATGAATACCACACCCCCATGTCACCTCCCTGAAGTCCCACCAGGAGCACATGAGGTCTTGTAGGGACAGTAAATACAAACCATGTGAGAGTGGAAGCAAAAACTCGAGGTACAAGGGGCCCATAATGTGTAATGTAAATACCACAGAAGAGTGGAAGGGGAGCAATTAGAATTCGAATGTAAGTAACCCTAAATTGTTGAATAAAAGGAGATCAGAGAAATGAGACTATCAGGAAAGGAAACAAAGCTGAGGACTATGAGGCTGCAGGTGAGAGGGGTGTCTTGCTGGCAGTGTCCTCAGGAGGCAGGAGAGGATGGACCTGGTGTCAGGTAGAGGATTCAGCCAGGGGGCAGGTGACCAGAAGGGGGCAGGGCGAGAGCGGGGCTGCCACAAACTTGCCATGCTTCACTAGCACCTCCTGGTGGTAAGGATTCTCCTTCCTGGAGAAAGGGCATCAAATTTGCAAAATGAGCTCTCAGGCCAACTGGCCATTGATTCAGTCTTCACTCTTGAGTATGAGCACTATTCTTAGGGAGAACTGTAGGCTGAAGTTCAGCTAACGGTGGTGTATGGGGCAGCGTTGTCAGGCCTGGCTAAAGCAGTAATTAACAGAGCTTGCTGTCATGGGGAGCATTTTTAATGGCAAACAGAATACCCGTGAGATGGTCAGTGGTTCTGCAAGCGCGGAGCAGGGCAGGGAGGATGTGGAGTTAGGGAGTGCAGCTGTATCCTGAAGGCTCAGGAGAGGTGGCTGTTAGCTTGTGTTGAATAGAGAGACCTGAGGAAGTACATGAGCAGAGGGGGAACAGTGGACCAGGCTTTATGAGCAGATACACATGACACAGGGTGACAGCCTCCCCATCACAGCCATTGCAGATACTTGGGAGCACTGAGCTACATTCGATTGTATCTTTTGAGAAAGGTTCACTGAGCTGCCCAGGCTGGCCTCCAACTTGCAGTCCTGCTGATTCATCCTCCAAGTAGCTGAGGTTACAGGTATGTGCCCCTGTAACTAGCAACACCACATTATGTCTACGGTGCTGCTGTGCATTATGTGTAATGAAACTAAATATACTATATCTGCTCTTCCTGAATATGCATACCTTTTCCCCCTGAGTATCAGACCTGCTGTTTTACAGATTTAACCTATTAGCTATATTTAATATTTCCTCTTTTATCAGAGCTCACAACCTGTTCAGTGGGACCCCATTTAACAGGCTGCTTTGTCCTCTCTCTAGGGTCTCAGACATTTTTGTAAGTGCCCTGATTTTTCTGGCAACAAGATATTGTAGGCTTGGCCAGGTGTGGTGGTACACACCTGTAATCCCAGCACTCAGAGGAGTCTGAGGCAGGAAGACTATTACAAGTTCAAGACCAGCCTGGGGTACACAGTGAGCTCAAGGCCAGCCTGAGTTGCATAGTGAAACCCTGCCTCTAAAATAAACACACATTCACACACACACACACACACACACACACACACACACACACACGAAGGCATTCCAGGCCCACCAAGATCCCTGCCCCTAAACATAAACAACTCCCCTCCAAAGTAACCTGCTTAGTCCTAGAGGCCCACATTGGCCTGGGGATACACACAAACATTCTCATACAGCTTTCTTCTTTACCTACTTTAAATTTAAAGATCCTGACTTGATAAATTGTGCCATATAGACAGAAGGGAACACTAACCAGCAGTAAGCAGCAGTGGATTACTGCTATGTGTGCTGATGAACATCAAGAATGCGCTTGGGCTGGGATCACAGGTCTGCTACAGTACCTCCCTAGCAAGTGCAAGACCCTGCTTCACCTCCAGCACTGTACGAAGGAAGGCTGGACCCAAAAGATGTCGTGATTCCATTTGTTTGACATGCCCTGTGGAGGCCGAGGCTATACAAGGCCCTGCCAGGAGTGGTGGCACACACCTGTAATCCCAGCTCTTGGGGGGCTGTAAACAGGTGGATCACTACAAGTCCGATCTAGTAGTAAAACTCTGAATACCCTGTAGACCCTTCCCTAAAATTAAAAAAAAAAGATTAATTAAAAAACAGTACAAGGCCCTGTGTTCAGTCTTCAGCACGAGTGCATACGTGCACATACACACAGTAAAGGTAAATCTGTAGCCACAAAGCAAATCGGTAGCCACTAGGGCTGGGGTAAGATGTACTTTTCTGAAAGGACAGAAATGGATCCTGGTGAGGCACTGCACAGGTCCATACACTTCCAATCACCGTATTTACCATGGTGAATTGTTGGTATGTAAATTATACTTTCACAACATGGTAAAAATTAAATCCTTTCTTTCACTTTAGTTGTAGCTCTTACTGGTGATACGGACATAAGACGTTTCATTACAAAATAATTTTGTAACCAACATTTTCATAACAAAAGAACACAGAGAATACATTTCCTGTACCTTGCAGTTATGACGGTGGTAGGGATCTAACCCAGGGTCTCATAAATGTCAGAAAAACCACCGAGCTTTCTCTCCAACCCTTGCCCTTTTTTTTTTTTTTTTTTTCTTTTGGGACAAAGTCTCACTATATACTTTAGGCTGACCTTTAACTCATTTTGGAGCCAGGCTAGCCTTGAATTCCCAGAAGACCTCTTGCCTCAGCCTCCCAAGTACTGGATTACAAGTGTGCACCACCACACTTTATTGCCTTTTTATTTGTGTGTGTGTGTGTGTGTGTGTGTGTGTGTGGCCAGCTCAGCCCACCAGGGGGCGCAGCTGGCTGGCATGTGGTGCTGGGGGTTTGAACCGCGGTCCCTGTGCTTTGCTAAGTTTGTTCTAAGTAGGTGCTTTAGACCACTGAGCCATCTCACCAGCCCCTTTCTTTTTTTAAACAGCTGTATTCCTGTTAAGATCTCAAGTAGAACACAATTTATGCTCATCTGTTTATTGCTACCTTTGTCACACGGGTACTTCATTATATTTATAAATCTTCTTACACTGACAGTTGTTATCTACAGACAGTGGCTCCTTACTGCTAGCTTGAGACCTTGCTGTAAATGCGTGGGAAGACCAACTGTGGAGCTTCCTCACCTGCTGCTTCCAAAATATCTAAAATTTGGAATCAAAACTTCAAAGGACAACCTTCTGAACTTTGGGGGTGGAGATCCACGAATGACACCCTTCATTTGAAAATACTGGCTTTAATAGAAAAGATCACATTGTAAACAAGTCCACTGATCCACGGGCCCATTAACTTAACACAGAACGGCCGCACAATCACGTGTGAAAGCTAAACACGAAATGCTGGTAGCAAACTCAGCTCTGAGGCCTGAGCCGGGCTTGGAGAAATCTTTCTAGAAACAGGCAGCAGTAGCTTCCACTAGGCACAGACACGGGGAACCAGAGCCAGCAGGCTGTCAGGGAGGGCTTCAGAGCCTAAAGGCAGCAGAGCAGCCGCCCCTCTGGGAAGGAGGCCGCAGGACAAACCCAAGGGCTGTGTTTCCCGGAATCCTGAAAACAGCGGCGGCAAGAGCCTGAGTGGCTTATGGGCCCAGGGTATCTGAAGTGGGGAAACAGCAGAAGCACCTGGCATGTGTCTTGGCACTCAACTCTTAGGGAGGCAAGAGAACAAAGCACTACACTGTATGCCGTGACTAACAGCCAGCTGCTGGCCAGCCTGCCTCTGTGGCCGGGCCCGCTGAGACCGGCAAGCTCTGATGCTCCCCCTTCCTTACTGATGAGCGCCTAAGGGACCTTCAAACAAAAATGCAGGGCTCCAATAGGAAAAGGTCCCTATGAGAGAGAAATTTGTTGTGGCTGGGCCTGCGGAGCTTGGGTTCGCCCACAAAAATCACCTCTAGTCCCACACACCATGCTGGCAGTTCACAGAAGGACCAGCTGGAGAGCAGGAAAAACTGCCCCTTAGTACCGTTCCCTGTGCGACTTTTCTTTCCACAGTACCCGTTACTGACCAGAGATGCTGCTCCCTTGTTCCTCAGAGGTAATTCAGGTAGGAGAAGAGTTTGTTCTTTACTCTGGAACAGGGATCATCAGACAAAGGGCAGGTCTGTGCAAGTGGAACTCTGCAGTCTCTCCAAATGCACACGCCACTGGTCCCCACCCACTGGAGACTAAGTGCCCCTAAGGGCAGGTGTTCTTGGTGGGAGTGTGTGGTGCCTGTGAACAATGGCTGAGGTGGAACAGAAAGCGAAGAGCCCTAACTTGGGTGTGGCACACATCAAAATAATGGAGTACACTTTTCAGAGATTTTTTTCTGAGTTATAAGACATTCTCCCTATTGCTAAACTGCATGACTAGGCTTCCAGCCTTGTACTGGAACACCCGCTCAACTTCAGTGACCATACTAGATTAAAGAAAGACGTGCTTGTCTGCTAAAGACAATTTCCAGAAAGACCCGTCTGTTTCTGTGAGGTGCCTGATCTGAGTCCCTCACAGACTAGTCACTGTATGGTTTCTTAGAAGACTGGCTTTTCTCAACTTCTTTCATACTGTACAGGGGGTCCACCAACTTGTTATGGACAAGCATCAAACCTATAAAAACAAAAAACAAAGCATAGTTAATGCAGATAGAAGCATTTGACCATTTAATAGTAATACCCAGAACCTCTCAAGCCTTATCCTAGAACTGACATTTAGCTCTTTGCTCTGTGATCACCAGATAACTTTAAACACTCTTAAAAGCAGGAAAAGAATATGTCATTCTCAGCTGCTGCAGAATTTCTTCACTGTCAGCCCATGTACAACAGTTCAGGCTGGCCTTGAGTTAGTTCACTTTGTAGCCCAGGCTGGTCTTGAACTCACAATGATCCTCCTACCTCAGCCTCCCAAGTGCTGGAATTACAGGCTGTGCCAGTGGGTATCCTTTTAAAGTGAAAGAAATAAAAGATTCTCCCATGAGTGCTTGTTCAGGCCTCACCTTGAGGGCAAAGATACCCCAAGACACAGTGTCATTGCATGGAGACCAACACAGCCCTTGGATACAACTCTGCCTGCACTTTCTGGCCTCCTCAGAGCAAACACCTCCAAAAATGGACCCCTGCTATCATAGATATGAGAAAGGACACTATTGTGAGGCAGTAGTTGATTATTATTAAAGTCATGGGTGTCGACTGCCATGTCCACTCTTTACTCCCAGCGCGGTGAGTAGGGCCACACATGCCTGCCCGACCCCTCACCTTTGAAGTACTTGACGGTCTTCACTTTCAGCTCCAAGGTGGCATCCTCATCGCACACAAACACGGTGCGTGGGTGCTGCTGGAAGGCAGACACCGTCCACATGTGGTTCACGCCCTCCTCGATGGCCTTGTACAGAGCAAAGGCCTTGTGAGCGCCTGTGATGAGGATCATCACCTGCGAGGCAGACAGCAAGCCATGGCTGAGCAGGCTGCACCCAGGTTCTTGGCCAGCCACAGCAGCTGCTGGCGCAGGTGGCTGCTTAGTGCCACATTGTCAGCAGTGGCGGCAAGGTGCCCTGCTCAGTGCCCGCACGCCATCACACAGCCCGGGAGAGAGGGCACTGTTTCCCCCACAGCTTAGGATAAGGAAATGGGACTCCAGCAGCCTTCTCCAGGTCGATTTTAGCCTCAGCGCTTGTGTTCCTCACTACTGTGTAAGGGTCCCTCCAGGTAACTTTGATGTGAAGGCTCGGCAGCAAAGGCCCGCACCTCCCACGGCACAGCTAGCTGACTTCTCGGTCTGTGACAGGACCCCATGTTGGAGGCAGTGGTGGGAGTTACCTGTGAGGCTCCTGAATCCCAGACAGGCTGTCCTTTAATCTGGTCCCTTTTACTACATAAAACAAGCTTTTTGTTTACATAAGAAACTAAAGGCATAGACAGACTCCACTTAACAGTTAAAATATGGAGGACTGGGAGAGTGCTGGGCAGGTGCAGATTAGGACAATTCAGCATGCGGATTTCCTTTTAATTCACTTGTGCTCAGTACTCCCTTCTTAAAAGATGAGAGCACCGAGGCCCAGAGTGATCGACTGCTGCACCCTTCAGCAACTCAGCCCACTCGTGAATGGTTTCCTGAGCTCCTGTCCCAGATGATCATGAGGAACGCGCACAGACCTGGGGACCTGGGCTCTGCTCCCAAGCGGCAAACAGGGTGAACCCTCTTGGAGACTGATGCAGAAAGCATTTCACAAAAATTCACCCTTTGAAAAACATGTTTGTGGCACCTGAGATGGAGCCCAAGGGCTCTCACATGCGAAGCAAGCGCCTCCCCAGCCCAAGAGTTCACTTCATAAAAGGGGAACTTCTCCCTGATGAGATGCTGGTTTGCAGATCCAGGCAAAGAAACTGGAGGCTCCGTGTCTGTAGCTACTTCCCATTTACTACACCTCAGAAAAGAAAATACTGCTAAGATTCTTATGAAAATAAGGACACTGGAACCACACACACACACACACACACACACACACACACATGGTCTTCACCTTCTAACACAGAACCTAACTAAACAATACCCAATCTTAAGATGCTCTTTTTTTTTATTTTTTAGGGAAGGGTCTACAGGATGTTCAGGGTCTCACTACTAGATCAGACTCATAGTGATCCTCCTGTTTACAGCCTCCCAAGAGCTGGGATTATAGGGGCGTGCCACCATGTCTAGTCTCAACTGCCAGCTCAGCATGCCCTGGGGGTAGGCCTGGCATGGCAGGTCCGGGATTGTACCCCTGGCCCCCGCGCCTGCTTGCAGGCTCTTTAATCCACTGAGCTATTTGGCTGGCTCTAGTTCAGTTTAAGATGCTCTTTATTTGTTGGCCTTCAGTTCTGGGGACTAAACCAAGGGTTTTCACACATCTCCAGCCCTTTATGAATGGTACCTGGGTTAGCAATTTAGGAAGGGGAAAGGTGGCCATAGGAGCAGTTTCTCTACCACCTTCTACCCCATGACATACCTTACTAAAAGGGCATTCACTGAATGCTCATTTGCTCATCCAGCTTGAAATGCAGAAAGCAGGAGTATTTATTTGGTACCAGGGATCGAACTCCAGACCTTGCGCTTGCCAGGCAGTCTTGTTTATGCTTCTGCGCTATCTCCCTGGCCAGGGCTCTCTGAACATGATGAACTCTGAGAGTCTGGCTGCTCAGTAATTATTTGGTTATGGTTAGGATTATGATTTTGAGACATGGTCTTGCTAGGTAGTTTAGACTGGCCTTGAATTTACCAAAATCCTCCTGCCTCAGCCTCCCAAGTGCTGGAACTATAGGCATGTGCTACTACACCCAGCTGATTGTGGTTTTTAAAAAAGTTTTTATGAGTATATGTTTGTGATATATAGTGATTACATTCACCTTGGGTAACTGATACATAAAAATATTGTGTGTGTGTCATTTTTATTCCCCTTTCTCTCTTTCAAGCCTTTTAATTTTTACTTTGAGATAGGGTCTCACTAAGCTGCCCGGGCTAGCCTTGAACTTGTAGGCATCTTGGCCCTGTCTCCCAAGTGCTGGCATTACAGCGACACCCCACCATATTCAGCTAAACACTTCTATTTCATTTATGCCTCACCACATTTATTAGCCTTGAGCACAAGTCTAAACCACAGCATCCCTGGGTTGCAGGAGTGTCCCTTCAAACAGTGACCAAAAGGGTCCTTGGTGCCTAGTGATAGGTTTGGGCTCTAGTGTGAATTGTTAAAATCATTGTGGTGGCCATCTAATATGGCCGATGCCCTTAACACAAAGGCCTATGCTCCCAGGACCACCTCCCCCTTCTCCACCTTAGCCCAGGACATAATTTCCTTTCACCCTTCCTGCCGCCTCAGGGAAGACCCCCAGTCAGCTCCCTCAGGTATATCTGAACATCCCCTCCAAACTCTACCCCTGGCAAAAGGCCTTAAAGCCTCAACCTCCCTTTGTCTAGTTCAGAAAATTCCTTGACCTCCCCAAATTCTCTCTGTGTCCTCAAAGAAAATAAAGCCCCATTCCCTTTTTCTTTCTGCCTGTTTCTCTGCTGTGCTGTTCACCTGAAAAACACCTATCACCTAGGAAGGTCCAAATTCGTATTTCCACATCTGTGGTGCTGGGCTGTTCCTGCCAGGAGATGCATAAAAAGGAAACATAAGCAGAGGCTAAGCAGCCTGAAGTGCATAGTCAGTCAGCAAAAGACAGGGAAAAAATGCTCAAAGGATACACCTCACACTTGGTGTAATGGTTACCTCCAAAGGGAGAGAGGGAACTAGGACTAGCTGGAATTTTAGCCTTACTTATAACATCTTCATCTTTAATAAGAATGTTTTCAGGGGCCGGGGAGATGGCTCAGTGGAATAAGCGCTTCCCTGGCAAGCTCAAGGGCCTGAGTTTGATCCTTGGTTCCACAAAAAAAAAAAAAATGTTTTCAGAGGGTAAGCAGTAGTTTAGTGGTAGAGTACTTGCCCATAACTCCTAAAACCTTGGGTTTTCTCCCCAGTACTGCAAAACATGAAGTAAAAATCCATAGCTAGACATGAGGGGAGATGACACAGGAAATGCTGGTACCAAGTGTCAATCAAGGAAAGCCCAGCTGGTAAGGACATAAGGTGCATGCCCGTGCTCCTTATCCACTGGATCTGATACTGTGTGACTTCTGGTTCTTCCCCAACATCCTAACAACCATGCAAGGTAAATATTTGGAATCCACTCAAAACATGCAGGTAGCCTCAACAGCGCAACAGAAGACACTGATGAAAGGAGCCCTCCAGAACTGGCTCAGAGCACAGCAAGGGCTACGGGGAAGTGTGCCTGGAGTAAGGGCAAGCACTCTGAGGGATACTAATGGCAATGTGTCTTTTACAGTTATACATTTTTAAAAAACAAATTAACTCACCATAGTCAATGATCTTACCTTGTTTGTGTTCAGGTAATACCTGTACAGGTAAAATTAACAAACGAGCCCTCCAACCCCCCACAAAGCTGGCAGACCCCTTGGGCGCTTACCTCTCTAGCCTCCATGACAGTGCCCACACCCACTGTCAGGGCCATGGTGGGCACCTTGGCAAGATCACCATCAAAAAACCTAGCATTGGCCAGGATGGTGTCCATGGCCAGCGTTTTCACACGGGTCCTGGACACCAGACTGGAGCCGGGCTCATTGAAGGCAATGTGTCCATCAGGCCCGATGCCTGCAGAAAGAGACAGCCAGGACAGCCCTGTGAGTCCTGGGGATCCAAAATGTCAAGAATCGACAATCTCTCCTTCCCTAACTAGAGCCTGAAAAAATACCCTTGAAAGCTATATGCCTTTTCACATGGTAGGCATGTCTTCAGCACCGAGGAACAGACAGACATTGCAACTTGCTACCAGCTTCCAAAAGCTCAGCAAGAGGCAATCCACACAGCTTCTGCCTCCTTGGATTATGGGACAGCGTAACTGGTCAGTCTTCACCGGTCGGTCTCTCTTGCTGTACTTGGGGTCCTGCTGCTGGAACTGAGTTGTAATGAATACAACACAGCACCTCAGTAGGGGATGCCAAGTTTATTTATTTATTTATTTATTATTATATTATTATTATTATTATTTTGGAGGAACTGGGGATTGAACTCAGGGCCTTGCACTTGCCAGGGACGTGCTTATTCCACTGAGCCATCTCCCCAGCCCCAGAACTGCCAAGTTTAGAAACTCAGTACATCAAGCTCCTGCTCCCCTGCTCTTATAGACGTAAGATCTAGGACAGTAAAAGGCAGTCCAGTTTCGCACCCCAGTGGGTGACTTGCAAGGGGGCAATAGGCAGATATGTAGACACCTAGGTCTCTGCCCTCTTCTCAGTACTCCTGGGGAACTGGCCTTAATGAGTCATGACTATTCTGGGGTTCAGCTGGTTATCAACAGCAGAGGCTATAGGGAACCTTCTGGAACTAGAGGATTCTATAATCATAAATGTTTATATAAGCCACAAGGCTGATCTAACAGGCCTTCAGACCAGGCACTGTGCATGGACCAGGTGTCACAGTGCAGAAAGAGGGAGTGTCCTACATCACAGTAGTTCCTGAGCAGTAGAGCCTGAGGGTTCCAAGGTTCCCACTATTGACGTGGTAGATGACCCCAGTGTCACTAGCATAGACAGGAATGTGTGGAGACAGGCTTGTCTCTCAGGCAATTCCAGCCGCCTGGCCCAGCCCCGCACATGTACCAAGCTCACCTCCAACAAACAGCTCAATCCCGCCAGCAGCCTTGATCTTCTCCTCAAAGGCATCACACTCGGCCTGCAGGTCAGCTGCATTCCCATCTAGGATGTGGGTATTTTCTGGGTGGATGTCAATGTGTTTGAAGAAATTGTTCCACATGAAGGAGTGGTAGCTCTCCGGGTGGTCTCGAGGAAGGCCTGTGGGCCAAAGGACACTCAGCTGTGCCAGGGCCCTTCTCCCAAGGTGGACGCCGGGATACTCCCATAACAACCTGGGACACCCTGGACTGCCCATGAGTGAGCTTTGGGCCTGGCCCACGTACGACACGCTGATCTGGTGTCTGGAAGCGCTCACTTGATCGCTGCTATCCTGTGACCACAGGGCTGGCAGGAGCCTGGGCAAAGCCCTCATTCCACTTGCCTTTTCACTAGGCAATGACCACAGGCTGTGGGTACTCGCAGCTTCCCAAAGTGGCCTGGCCACCTGGAGTAGGGTGCCCATCTAGGAAAGGAAGCAAGCACACCCTTTACCCTGTACCCCCTCCCAATTCACCCCAATTAAACCCTAGTTTTATCTGAACCCTAATTTAAACACCAAGTGATTGGAGAAAGTTGCCTCAGGGCCCCTCAAAACAGGCTCTTTTTTTTTGCCAGAAAAAAAAAAAAAAGAAATAATAAAAAAAAGAAAGTCTGAGGTGATTGTTTAATGTTTTTTTTTTTTTAAATTTTATTTATTTATGTGTGTGTGTGTGTGTGTGTGTGTGTGTGTCCAGCTCAGCCCACCAGGGGGCGGGGCTGGCTGGCATGTGGTGCTGGGGGATTGAGCCGCGGTCCCTGTGCTTTTTGCTAAGCTTGTTCTAAGTAGGTG